TTTATTTGAATTTGTAACATATTAAATTAATGAATATATAAAATATGGATGAGCAACATCTTGCACCTCTTTCTGCTGATGAAGATTCACGTTTTGATGGTTATAGTAGTTCTGATGATGCAAGTGTTGAAGTTACTTCAACCATTGACGAATGTGAAAATGAATTAGTACGTTTATCAACATATCTTCAATTGGAATCTGAATTCGACAATGATGATGATCAAGCTTTTGAATGGCCTGAATCACCACCAACATTACTTTCTTCAAGCTCATCTGATATTGAAGAATTAGCTGATTCTCAACAGGTGGTATTGTCCATAACGTCATTTAATAATGGTGATGCTCAAGAAAAATCTAAGAAATGTAAACGACGTCAATGGTCAATAATAGAAAAGCTTGATGCTATCGCACTATTTGATAAAAATCAAAGTAAACGTAAAACTGCGAATGAAAAAGGATGTACACCTGCTCAACTACGAAATTGGATTCACAATAAAGAAAATTTGTTAAAGATGTACAAAAATAAAAAAGGTTTGTTTCTATTTTCTTTTAATTGAAGATAATACTATCTTGTCTTTCATCTTTTAGGTGGTAAACGAAAACGATTAGAAGGTGGTGGTAAAAAAGTCGTTTATGCTGATCTTGATAGTCGACTTTTTACCTGGTATCGATCACGAAGAACCGATCCTAATGATCAATCTCGTGCTGCACCTGATATACAAAGAGAAAGAGTAACTCTTCGTCATTTGGAAAAAGAAGGTCGTCGAATTGCTAAAGAATTAAATCATTCTTCACCAGTATCAAGTTGGTATTTACGTTTTTTGAAGCGTAATGGTTTATCATTACAACGACCCAAGAGACAAGATAAAGTACCACTTGATGAAGTTCATCGTTTAGCTAATTCTTTTTATATGTTCAATCGTCGTGCAAGTTCATGGTCAATTCGACGTGGTCCGATGGGTGCATTTATTCCTGAAGACATTTGCAATATGGATGAATCTCCATTAGCGCTTTTTGGTGATCAAGCTAAAAGGTCTGTTAATGATATTGGTACAAGTAATGAAATCAATGGGTACATTAGCAACAAGGTAGATATCATGTAGCTGATTTATGCTAATTTTTTTTTAATCGAATGCTTGTTATTCGAAGAATTTTTACCATTTTCTTTAATAAACTGAAGATATATGAATCTATACTCAACTTAAACACATAATAAGCTGTGAATCCTAAATATAATATTGACTTTTGCTCTATCTGAGTACAAAATACATAAGCGGCTATGTTCTGCTCCACTATTGTTTTGTAAAAAAAGAAATGATTGATACGACTCATACCATTTACCACTTACAAAAATATCTCAATGAGAAATTTCAAAATTTGATGAAGTTGACTGTCATATATGCTGCAAACACTATCAGATCTTAGAAGCTTGACCATTTTTTTAAAATCATTTTAGAGATTTTGCACCGTTTTACTTACTGTTTTTGGTAAAAATCAACGAATGAAACCAGTGGTACTTTTTAAAGGTAAAGGTAATATTGGTGTTAATGAACGTGAACAGTATTCAAAAGATGTACATGTTATTTTTACACCAAAAGCTGTAATTAATGGACAATCAATGGATACATATATTAATAAATGGTTAGAAAAGGTATGAGAATATTGTTTGAGCACAGAAAGAGAATGTCTGTCAATATAATGTGATGATAGGGTAATTTTGATTAGTTATCATCTTTAGAATAGGATAAAAAATATCGTCATCACTTTAAGAATTTCAGAAACGCTAATCTATTATGCGACTAAATTATCTTATAGGTGCATGATGGTCATCCTAAACTCTTTATTGCCGATTCAGCGAATTCTCATTTAAAACCCGAAATAATTCAAAAGTTACGAAAGAAGAATGTTGTGGTATCTATTATTCCAAAAGGGTGCACACAATATCTACAACTTCTTGATACAGCAGTTTTTTCGGTATTCAAGAATCACTATCAAGCTGCTGCTGATGAATATATTGATTGTTATAGTTCACGTAGCAAAATTAAATTAACAGCTAAACAACAAAGAATTCTATGTACTCGTTTAATTTCAACAGCATGGATTCGTACTCAAAAAAGTATCGATTTTGAACGTGCGTTTCTTGATATTGGTTATACATGGGTGGATGAATCTCCTGTTTCTATTCGAACCTTAAAAGGATTTATTTTTGATCCATCAACAGTAACTTCTTCGACATTCAATGATGATGAAAATGAAGAAAAAGAAGAATATAATGCAAAGAAAACAACGGTCGAAGAAAAAAAAAAGAACTCACATTTGTTAAGCATCATCAACAACAACAAATTGAAACAGCTCAGCTTAGATCAGTTTATCAAAAAATGAAATTTGATTGTAGTTCATTTTTGTTTTTCATTTTTTTGCATTTTTACTTTGTACTTTTACTTTGTATTGAAAATATAATTATGATGAACTAATTCAATTATATCTTAATGTAATATAATAACGATATCTGAACCTCTGTGAACAGATATTCATATTAGAAGACCACTCATAATAGAAGACCCCTCTAAAGAATTTTTACACTAAACCATAATAGAAGACCCCGAGTCTTTTATTGTAGGGGGGGGTTTAGTACATGTAATTGAAAAATTTCGACGTAAATGCAACATTATCAAA